CTGTTGCCACTGCCTTTTAAGAAAGTTCTAAAGACTCGTGACCCCCGAGAAAACAAAATTCTCATCTCTGACATAAATTGCTTATTTTTAAACCGTGAATACCCCCGTACACACACAGACAGATAGAAGAAAGAACTTGTGTTATGAGTGATCGTGAAAAAAGGACAGTGAAGAAGCAGATCAATGTTGCCAGTCCTCAGGATTCAATGGGGTGTTATTTTTTGATTCCCAAACCATGTGGTTCTGATTTTTTTCCTTCAGGTTCTTCCACTTTTTTACAGGAGGCACATATCAACCAGTTTACAAATGATAATGAATAAATTGTTAGTTTCTGATTTATTGTTTAAAACCAACAGCTTATAGCAACTGATGGAATAAAACAACTGGCTTTTCTTAAGGCTTTGGGTATTTATCTAGATAGAGACACTCACTCGTGCCCTTTCTGAAGGCTTCTGCCTGGATTGTTCCCACCCACAAGCTGCAGAACAAAGTGAATAGATGTCTGGCAGCTGGATTTCGGCATCCACAATTAGTCACAACGCCACAGATCACTCGGCAAACTGTTGGCATGGGAATGTTGTTTATGTATGTAACGGTGAGCTGTAAACAATGAAGAATTATGAACACCCTTCGCTATGCACCAAAGGTGCCTGTACAAAAGGAGGATGAGGAAGAGATAAGAGTTTGGTATTTACAGCAGGGAAGGTTAGAATGCCTTCCAAGATCTGGTGGTCTGGCCACCCAAAGGATCACAAAGGTATCCTGAACACACCATTAGCCAATGTGCATGAGCCACTAGCTAAAAAGGCGCTGAAAGAATTCCGGAATAATTAGATAGGTGTACCTATGTAGTAATGTGTTAATTGTGCTTCGACTGTATGCATGATGTAAACCTAAGCATTAGTAGTGATGCAATTTAGATAACTGTGCACCTCTTAATTGGTATATGTTAATTTTCTGTTACTGAATCTAAGGGTATAACTGCCTCTGTAATCATTATTTCTGGTTCTCCAGCGTATCTCTGGAACCCCTGGCTTATGACTAACTAATAAAAGTCATTTTAACATTCTAAAGATCTTCATCAGGCCACTCTCTGTGGATAAAAGTCCAAGGATAGTGGGGCTGCAATCAGACCTCGGAAATGCAGACAAAACCATCCAAATCTCACTTTGCACACAGTCCTCCAGAGCTGGGCCATATTCTACCCCCTTCATTTCCTGCTTGCAAAATACAGTGTAAACATGACTTACAATGTGTTTCAGTAATTTGCATTTTAAAAGTACAGCAATTCCTTCCCCAGTCTGTTGTGGAACAGTCCTTTTCCCAGTTCAGTCTACAATTAATAAAAAGATGGCCTTTACAGCATCCATTGGTTGCCCTTTGTCCACAGTGTATGTCACTTACTCAAAGAACTCCAATACATTGTTGAAACATGATTTCATTCTCTCAAATCCATGTTGATCCAACCTACCTTGAACTTTCTAAGTACCCAGCTATAATGTCTTAATAATACCTCTGTGTTAATTTAACTGGCCTGTAGTTTCCTGATTTCTGTCTCTATTTTTGAGTAAAGGAATTACATTTTCTATCTTCCAATCTAATGAGACCTTCCCCAAAACTAGGGAATTTTGGTAAATCAAAGCTAAATCTATTAACTGTTTTGTTAGCAACTTCAAGAAACCAAGGATGAAGCCCCTCAGGATCTGGGGTCTAGTCTGTCTGCAGCTTCAATTTGCTAGTGATTGTAACTTTTGTTTTGAGTTCCTCCCTTCCTTCCATGTCCTGGTTAGCTGCTCTTTCTTTCGGAGAAGACATTTGCAAAGTTGGTTAGCTCAGTTGGCTGAACAGCTGATTTGCAATGCAGAGCATGGGTTCAGTTCCCGTGCTGGCAGAGGTTATGAATGACACTTCTTTTCAATCTCTCCCCTCACCTGAGGCGTGGTGACCCTCAAGTTAAACCACCGTCAATTGTGTCTCTTTAATGAGAAAGCAACCCTATGGTCTGGTAGGATAATGGCAACCTTAACTTACCTTTTTGTATCAAAGACTGAGGCGAAATACCTGTTTAGTTAATCTGCCATTTTCCTACTTTCCATCATTAATTCCCCAGACTCTTCCTTTTTAAATATCCAGAAATTCTCACTATCTGTTTTTAGATTTTTAGCTTGCTTTCTATCATATTCTAATTTTTCCCTCCATATTAATCTTTCACTCAATGTTTGAGTTCCAAGTAGAACAGTTGTTTCAGGAGTCTGGAATGCAATTGCAGTCACAGCTGACTGCTTCACATATTTGACACACCCAATCTACTGATACTGGACTATTCTTGTCCTCACTTGCCTGCTGTCTGAGAGGATCAGGCCTATAGTAAGTGGCTGTCTGCTGCTGTAATCAGACAAAGTCGGAGAAGTCCAGGAGGAGCCTTTCTCTTCACTTTTTTTTTTCTTTTTCCAATCATGAAGGGCCATGTTACTGTAAGATGTCCCATTTACAACATTTTTTAAGTTGAGATGGGCAGACATCACCACCTTTTTGGTGTTCGTTGAGTGGAGAGTTGAAGAGTCTATGTCAATCCGAGGCTGCCGACATGGGCAGTTTGAAAGACAACTGAAAAATCACTTCAGTGCTAGATTTCCAGTAACTGTGCAGGTGTCTGCATTGGTAGTTGGCATGTGCTTTTCAGTAAATGAAGCAGAAATATTACTTCTGGAGTGCTCAAACTAATAGGCCTGGTCAGATGTAGTGTATTTGTGCCTCTGATAGTGAATAATGCGACGAAGTAGCTGATTTGCAAAGAGAATAATTTAAATGCATTTTTATTTGGGCTCATCCCATGATTTGGGCCTAGGCCTATTCTTATCTGTGTTCCTTAGTGCTGAGGGGCCAGGTAACTCATTTGGCTGGGTGACTGGTTTGTAATACAGAGTGATATCAACAGCATGGATTCAATTGCCACATTGGATTAGGTTACCATGAAGGACTTTCTTTCTGAACCTCTCCCCTCACATGAAGCATGGTGACCTTCCAGTTAAACCACCACTAATGTCTATTTCTAATGAGAGAGCAACCTGATGGCTGCCCTATATTGCTTATTGTCCACTAGGACTAAGGCAACTTTTTTACTGAATTGCATAAGGTGATTTGTGACTAGGCCGATTCTTCATTCTAAGTTATACTTTAACTATCCTCCTCTTCTCTGCAGTCAGGTAGTCAGGACCCCACAATGTTGGAATTGTGATTACGCATTGAAGATCAGTGAGAATTTTAATGCTGCAGAGGAATATTAGTTTTTAATTTGATCTTGAGACAGTGTGTAGCACTGGTGAGGCTGAATGTATTTGGTTGTCTCTAGTTGGGATTGAAGCTGATAGTAACCATGTTTGTAGCATGAGACTAGATAACTAGGCCAGGCCTGCTGCAGGTTTCAGATTTCTTTCCCTGAATGTTGTTAATGAAACAGTTGGGTTTATCTGACAACTGAGCTACATTTGTTTTCTGATGTGTACAAACAGTTAGATTTATTGAACAGCTTTCATGTAAATGGTGCTGTATTCAGATTGAACTGAGCATCTGGTCCAGCACAAGAAGTGAAACCATGTGTCAACCGTACCCACGCAAACTACATATTAAGCAAGAGAAGTGGAATAAGAGCTGGATATTGCTTATCTCTTGAGATTGCTTTTATCTGGTGATGGTTTTGGATCTGGCACTTCTCAATCATCGGCCATTGAATTCCTTTATTGAAGCTGCAGTTTTATGTAGCAGTTCTTGATCGATTTGTATTGATGCTGCCAGTCAATCCTGACAACTGCTTGCAACAGGCTGCCAACACAATGGACACTTCAGTCTGAACACCATACATCCTGTAAAATGAGACTAATGGTGGGTTACGGATTACTATTGTAGAGTACTGGCCTGCCCAAACCCTGCCATTCAATAAACTTTCTCTGCAGTAATTAAATGCTGTTTGGAGTCCTGCCACATGGACAGATATCAAATTATGTCCTATGTTGTTCTGATGTACATTAATTAGTATCAAAAGAAATTGCCCCATCATTACTGGAATTTGGATGCTCTTAATTGATGGGTATTTGGCAGCAAGGGACAATAAACCAGCATTGGGATTTGGAGAAAGCTATCAATCAGGCTTTCTTGCAGCCTTTTGATTTCTGTTTGAATTACTGGTTTGCAATCCACTACAGATGAACCCTGCAATACCCAGTCCCTGTTTTCCATTTCTCTTTTATGATACATTTTCTACCCATTGTTATTACGCCTTTCATTTTCATTGTGTCTGTTTCAAATATTTTTCAAACGCAACTCACCTTTTTTGACAAAGAAAATTTTATGCAGGCAACATTTGGGCTGAAGGGCCTGTTTCCATGCTATATTCCTCCTCTGACTATGCAGCGTCTTCCAGGAAGAAACCCAAAAGTTCTGTTTGTAAAGCATTTTTGAAGTGAACAACACGGAATTGGCTGACCCCAATCCTATACTGCCACCTAGTGCTAGAATCTTGTGCGCGTAGTCTCCATTGATGTCCATGTCTCTGTGGTCATGAATAGAGAGCATGGTCATAATAGCTAACCCAATCTTGCAGGTTCAGTTGTAAGATCTTCCTTTCCTCCAACTTTAAAGTGGCAGTTCTTTTACAGCCTAATGCACGTAGTAGCCAGTGAAGGGCAGACACCAAACTAATTCTTAATTGTGTTGCATTTCAATCCCAATTTATTTTGTCCCAATAAATGGAACAATCCTGAGATTTCCTCATCCTTGAACTTGAAGCCCATTGTTGATTTATGTGAATACAGAAAGTCAAAGTGAAGGTTTGATGTAGGCTGCTACATCCCTAAAGTGAGGTCGTTGGGGCAAAACAAAGTTCCCTCCATGGTGGCTGATGAAGGACACCACATCAATTAGAGGAAGAAATGGAAGTGCAGATTCTATGATGATGGAGGTTTGCTTGTATTTGTTGAATTTAGAGTATTGTCCTTTTGCAGCAGAGGCAGGGTGTGACCAGGAGCAGAACTTCGAGTATCAGCCTAACTGTGGAGCATGCACTGGAGAGCTTCGACTTCCTCAACACATCCGACATGGAGGATTCAGAATTCTCAGAAGATGAGGCAGAGAAGATGGGAAGGTATGACATGTTTCTTGTGGCAAGTCCTGTGTAGGGAGATGTCATTAGAAACCTGCAGCACAGAAGAGGCTATTGACCCCGTCATACCTCTGGCTGTTTGAAAAAAATATACCATTTTTGTGCTATGTTTTTGCTTTTAGTCTATAATCTTGCAAATTCCTCCTGATATCTTTTGTTTTTAAAATAATGATATCGGCTTGCACCACCTTTCCAGGTAGAGCATTCCAGATCCTAAAAACTAAGTTACAACATTTCTCCTCATTTTCCCTCAATCCTTGCCATGATTTAAAATCTGGCCTCTGGTTATTGAACCACTGATAAGAGGAAACAGTCTTTCTTAACCAAATCTTTCACAATCTTGTAAATCTTTTTATTAAGCCTTCTAAACTTCTCTATTCCAAGGAGAACAATTCCAATTTCCCCAACCAATGCATATAATTGAAGTTTCCTAGCCCTGGTAATCCTCCGCTGTAGCCTTTCCATTGTTCTTTCCTCTCCTGATGTATGGATGTTGCAGAATTGTTTGCAGTACCCTAGATGAGACCTAACCATGATTTGTGAAGTTTCAGATTTTATTGTTTTTACATTCATTGCTCTGCAAATGATATGCTTCTTTAATCAGCTTATTATTTTGTCCCACCATGTTCAAGGAGTTGTGAAAATGGATACCATAACGTCTCTGATCATCTCCACTTTCTAAAATCATGTCATTTACAGCTTCCCACGTTAGGCCTTCCAAAGTGCATCATTTTACACATGTCTGCACTGAGCTCTATTTGCTGGGCTTCTGCCTGTCTCAGCGTCTATGCCTATGTCATCCTGAAGCCTACTAGCTTTGCCATTTAACATACACAATTTGTAAAGGGTGGTGCAGAAAGAGTGCTATGGATGATATGGGAGTTAAGGTGAAGTAGTAAATTTGTGAAGCACAACAAATAGTTTTGGCGTTTTCTGTATGAAGAGGCCTAACTTTATCCCATACAATTTGGCCCCACTCCCTATCCTCTAAAACCTACTCCAATCACCACAGTGCTTTTGAGAGCTGAACTTGAGCATCCTCAACGTTGTCGATATTAGTTGCTGAGCCATTGATTACTTCAGTTGCCAAGGTCCTAAGCTCTTTGATTCCCTCCCTAAATCTTTCTATTTCTATCTCTTCCTTCTTTTTTAAGACAGTCATTTAAAACCTGCATCTTTGGCCAAGCTTTTGACAAATCTGCCCTAGCATCTCCTTACCTGTCCCACTGCCAAATGTTATCATCATGTGTTAGTGTGATGTTTGTCTACATCGAAGGTGCTAAAATGTCATCTGTGTCTCAGTTGGTAACATTCTGCTCTGTAGGTTGCAAAGTTCTGAGTTTGTGTCTCACTCTGGAACTTGAGTACAAAAATCCACCCTGACACTACACTGAAGGAGTACTGCATTGTTGGGGGCACCATCTTCTCGGGTAGATGCAAAAGATCCCATGCAACTCTTTCAAAGAAAAGTTATCCCTGGCGTTCCAGCCAATTTATGTCTTTCAACACCATCACAGAAATACAGATTGATTGTTCATTATCACAATGCTGTTTGTGGGAGGTTGCTGTGGGCAAAATAGATGCCACATTTCCTACATTACCACAGTGACTATATTTCCAAAAGTTCATCATTGGCTGTAAAGCACAACATAAATGGAAGTCTTTTTGCATTGCTATGAAGGTATGTTTGAAGATTTTGCTGTCATGGATAGATCAGTTTGTCTGTGTAACTCTTGAATGCATGTGAAAGTGAAACAGTCTCAAGCTATTTCTGCTGCTTCTGATAGGCGCAGCAGTAATGTGCGTGGACTCGCTGCAGGGCCCAGTGAAGCACTAACAGAGGATACTGGAGTTGGCAGTGGTTCTGAAGGGAGTCCAGTTCCAATGACAACAGGGAATGAACACTTGGACCAGGTTCTGATCGTGCACTTGAATAACTGCAGCAGACTTCTACTGGTAAATATATCAAATCCTCTCATTATCTGCAGTGTTGGTGTTACTGAAACTTTGGGCATACCACCAAGTTCTGTGTTAATGTTGCCGTTTGCTGATTTCTGTTGACAGATAGCACAGGCTGTCTTTGTGAAGTAGGGTGGTTCCCATACCATGTACTTAATTTATAATTATTTACAGGGCAAAGGAGACCATGATGTATTTTTTCCCTTCTGTGGAAGTCCATGTATGAAAATGCACATTAAATTAACACATGCTAGGAATTAGCATCTTGAGCATCACTGCTGAATAAAGTAGAAGTTTATAAGTTGGCTTCCTGATCGATGTATCCCAGAACTTTGTGGGAAGCTAGGGAAATGATTGCTGGGCCCCTCGCTGAGATATTTGTATCATCAGTAGCCATGGGTGAGGAAGACTGGAGGTTGTCTAACGTGGTGCCATTATTTAAGAAAGGTGGTAGGGAAAAGCCAGAGAACTATCGACCAGTGAGCCTGACATCAGTGGGTAAGATGTTGGAGGGGATTCTGAGGCACAGGACATACATGCATATGACAAGGCAAGGACTGATTAGGGATAGTCAACATGGCTTTGTGCGTGGGAAATCGTGTCTCATTAAATTAATTGAGTTTTTTGAAGTGAAAAAGAAGATTGATGAAGGCAGAGTGGTGGACATTGTCTATATGGAATTCAGCAAGGCATTCAATAAGGTTTCACGTGGTAGGCTGGTTAGCAAAGTTAGATTACATGGAATCCAGGGAGAGCTAGCAATTTGGATACAAAATTAGCTTGAAGATAGGAGACAGAGGGTGGTGGTGGAAGATTTTTTTTTGGACTGGAGGCCTGTGACCAGTGGTGTGCTACAAGGATCGGTTGCTGGGTCTACTGCTTTTTGTCATTTATACATAATTTGGATATGAATATAGAGACCTTGGGGTGCAGGTTCACAGTTCCTTGAAAGTGGAGTTGCAGGTCGACAGGGTAATGAAGAAGGCATTTGGTATGCTTGCCTTCATTAGTCAGCACATTGAGTATAGGAGTTGGAATGTTATGTTGTGGCTGTGCAGGGTGGCTCGGTGGTTAGCACTGCTGTCTGACAGCGCCAGGGACCTCCCCACTCTATCTTCTCCCCTCGCCCCCTCTCTGTCAGCACCTGCGAATGAAATTGATTCTGGCCACAGGTAGCTATCTGTATGGAGTTTGCACATTCTCCTTGTGTCTGCCTGGGTTTCTGGTTTCCTCCCACTGTCTAAACACGTGCAGGTTATGTGGATTGGCCATGCTAAATTGTCCATAGTGTCCAGGGATGTGTAGGTTAGGGATAGGGTCGGGGGAGGTGAGTCTGGGTGGGATGCTATTTGGAGAGTCAATGTGGACTTGTTGGGCCAAATGGCCTGTTTCTACACAGTAGGGATTCTATGAAGACAGTGGTTAGGCCACATTTGGAATACTGCATTCAATTCTCATCTCCCTGCTATTGAAAAAATGTGGCTAAACTTGAAAAGGTTCAGCAAAGATTTACAATGATGTTGCCAGGGTTGAAGGGTTTGAACTATAGGGAGAGGTTGAATAGGCCTGGGGTTATTTTCTCTGGAGCATTGGAGGCTGAGGAATGACCTTAGAGAGGTTTATAAAATCATGAGGGGCATGGATAAGGTGAATAACCAAGGTCTTTCTCCCAGGGTAGAGGAATCAAAAACTAGAGGGCATAGGCCTAAGGTGAGAAGGGAAAGATTTAAAAGGGATCTGAGGGGCAACTTTTTCACACAGTGTGGTGCGTATATGGAATGAGCTGCCAGAGGAAGTGGTGGAGGCTGGTACAATTACAGCATTTAAAGGGCATTTGGATGGATATATCAATAGGAAGGGTTCAGAGAGTTGTGGACCAAATGCTGGCAACTGGGGACTAGATTAATTTAGAACATCTCGTCGGCATGGATGAGTTGGACGAAGGGTCTGTTTCTGTGCTGTATAATTCTTTGACTCTATGAGGGAGTACAGTGCCTGCTGTGTTGTCTGATTGTGTTTATTCTGACTGCCGTTTGTAAACAAGTGATCCATCTTCCTGTGTTGTACAACAGCAAACTTCTTCATGTTCCAATATTAGCTTACATTCTGCAGCACTATTTAATATAGTATTATTTTTGATTGATAATCCCCAGGTGATTATTATAAAGTAACAGTCTGAACAATTGAATCCAAATAAATGCTCTGATTTGGAGTTGTCCTTAGCCTTTCTGAAATTATTCTGTAGTACTGCATTCTGTCAGCAGATGACACTAGCATGCTGTAACTTGATGTCACAAGTCATTTTATCCTTTGCAACACTACCACCTGTAGAGAGTAATGTGGCGCTGCAGCAACTGAAGTGGATTGAAAATTTAAATTTCAATTCAGAATGTGGGTTTGATATTCTTGGCTGTTCTTTAATCAAAAGTTTTTCTTTCAAATCGAATGACCAAAATAGTGGTATCTGAATGTAGGTAATCCAAATAAAATTTGAGGATGATGGTTCCTGGAAAGCTGATTGTGTAACACAACAACCGAGAAAGTTAGACAATAAATCAGGTCATTTCAGGTCCCAACCTGAAACATCAACTTTCCTACTCCACTGATGCTGCCTGGCCTGCTGTGTTCCACCAGCTCCAAACTCTGTTAAGTCAGATCATTCATTGCAATTATCCTGAACTTGGTGGTCCACTTATTCCATTTGCCATTTATGCTGAGCAAAGGGTGCCTCTGTTGTTTTTAAGAATTTGTGGGTTTACATGTTAATACTTCATAAAGTTTATTAATTTAAGAGTCACACTGTCTTTTCACAATGTGATAATTGTTACAGCATTTAACCTGGCCCAGCATGGAAATAATTTCTAGTGTTCAATCTCATTCTTATATGTTGTCAATTTATGAGTATTAAAAGGTTTTTTTTTCTTTTTTTTCCCCTTTTGCTTTCTTGTCCCTTTCTTGGTCCTTTTGTTTTCTCTGTATTTCCTCCTTTTTCGGATTTGACTTCAATTTGCTCCCCTTCTCTGTTTCTGTTCTTTCTCCATTGTTAAATCGCATTGGTTTATGTTCGTGGTTCACTAAGGTCCCAGTTGTCCTGTCATCCTCACCGTGCTGTAATGAACTCTCACTTGTTCCAAGTTATGCCAGAAGTCTGAGAAATATCCTGCTCCAGCTAAGTCCAGTCCGTAGTTTAAATTTTAGCATTAATCCCACGTAAATGGGGATTAAATTGGAATAAAATTTTGTCACCTTGATATCTTCTGAGTATTTTGGTACCAACTTCTTGTTTCAATCAGTGGTAACAATCTCATCACCAAGTCAGAGAGTTTTTAACTCGATCCATTCCAGAAGCTGCTTCATATAATCCAGGCTGAAACGTCAGTACGGACAGAGCCTTCTATCAGAGGTACAATCTTTTAGAAGAAACCTGAAATCTAGAACCAGTATGAACTCTTGAGTTGGACATAAAAATATCCCATGGCACCAATTTGAAGAATAGCAGCGGTGTTTTGCCAGGATCCTGTGTAAATATAGGGTTTAATGTAAATGTAGATGACCTTCTGAGGTAAACTCTGATGTAGATGAACTATGATCTCAGTAACCATGTGAAAGTACTCTGCAGAATGTTTAACTTGTCTTACTGTCGAGGACAGACTTTGTAAATGTAACCTAAAGGTCTTGCCTGAGCTTTAATGAAGAATCCATGCAATCATATCTGGGCCAGTATTAACCCTTTAACCATTTGGTTGCTATTTACGCAGGCTTATTGCGCACAAATTGACTGATACTATTTAATAACAGTGACTAAAATCGAAAAGAACTATAAAAGCACAATACTGTAGATGCTGGAAATCTGATATAAAAACAGAAAATGTTGGAGAAACTCGGCAGGTCTGACAGCATCTGTGGAGAGAGAAATAGCGTTAACGTTTCAAGTCTGATATGACTCTTCTTTGAATAGTTTTCTGACATGTTAAGTTTTTATTTCAAAATATTATATTACCGTAAATTGTTTTAAGGCTTACTAAAGTTGTGAAAGACACATCTATGATAATTGTTCTACACAAGTTGGGTTAAGTTTTGATCTTTTGTTTAAACATGATGGTTCATGATAGAGAAGTTCAGCATAAAGCTGATCACAACGTGTATTTGCTAGTTAAAAGGAATTGGTGTTGTAGTGCCTCCTTCGCTCTCATTTGCAACGATAAGTGTGAGGATACTACAGACATCTTTGTCACAAATACTGAAACTGTCCGTTCAGCTGCCTCTGCTGCATACATTCCTTTGCCACCCCTTTTGGATAATGGCATGTTCTTCCTAATATCGTCTTGCCCATGAGATCCCACTGACCCATTCTGCCAACCAAACCATTAACCGGCCAATTTTACTGTATCTCCTTGGTTCGGTATTTGTTCAAACTTCAGTCTCCACAGATGTTGTCTTCCCACAACTGTCAATCTCTCCTTAAGGAAAAGCTACTCTTAATCCTTCTGTACCTGTCATCTACTGTCCAGTTTCAAGCTCCTTTTCCTGCTCAAAGTCCTTAAACATGTTGCTTTCAAATCCGTGTCCATCTTTGCCACAATGTTATATGTTTGAATTCCTCCAGTCGGGTTTCTTGCCCAGCCGCAGTATTAAAATAGCTCTTGTTAATGTAAAAATGACATCCTACGTTATTGTGACTGTGATAAACTATCTCTTTCATCTTGTCTACAGTCTTCAACATGGTTTATACACTCTTCTCCTCTCATGTCTTTCCTCCATTGTCCAGCTGGATGGGACCCCATTAACTTCATTTTATTCTGATTTAATCAAAACCAGAAAATTGCTTGTAACACTTTCTCTTCAAACATTCACACCATTACCTATGGCGTCCTTCTGTTTCTCATCTGAGAGCTGATGGCACTCGATTCTATCAAATCACTATCTCAAAAGATGCTTCAACTATCTCTGGTCTCACTGCTTGTTGAACACCCGAAAACAAACGAATAGAAATTTCTTCCAACTAAATATTGTGAAAACTGAAGTCATTGTGCTTGTTCCTGTCACAAACTTGCTTTCCTGTCAACTGTTTTCATTCCTGATAATGTTGGAGTTCAGTTGGTCCCTAAAAGAAACTAACAAATACACATTTGCACAATTGCCCACACGGCCAGCTTCAACCTTTTGCTGCATCAACGGGCTCTGACTCTGCTTTAGCCTTTCTGCTGCTGAAAACTCTCATCCCTGCCCTTGTTTTTCTAAGCTTTCTTGGCTGGTCTCCCATCTTCTGTGACTTGGGCTCATCCAAAACTCTGCTTGTATTCACTCTGAGTATCATTCATGCATCACCACCTGTTAGCTGACCCATTCCTGTTCAATAACACTTCTTTTTTTAAATCCTTGTTTTTTAAATCCCTTTGGCCTTTCCCCTCCCTATCTCTGTAACCCTGTTGAGCCTCAATGGCTTCCAAGTTAACTGCATTCCATTAAATCTGGCCTCTTGTACATCTCTGACTGTAATTGCTGCCAGCTGCCTTTGAATTCCCTCCCTAAACTTCTCCACTTACAATGCTCCTTTAAACCTACCGCTTGCATCAGGTTTTTAGTAATCTCTCCTTATATCACCACTTGTGGCTTTGTATCAAAGTTTTTTTCTTAATTTACATTGTTTTTGTTCATGTTAAGTACCTTGGTGCAGATTACTGATTTAAATGCATTTTTTTATATATATGCAAGTTTTCAATATCCATTTCATGTTGCAGCAATTGGGTATCTACGGACCACTACGATGCCGGGAGATTTACGCACTGGACAAGCTTCTAAGAGAGGCGCATGTTCTCGAGAGAGTGTCCAGACTGAGTGAAGAGAAATCTGGGAACATAAGCACTGCCGAGGAGGGTGAGTTAATCCTCTCAAATAAAACATCACTAGGCATTAATACACTGGCTCCTTGAAGCCTATTGCGATTGTATGCTATCAATTTTGTTGCTCTCATAAGTGTAAAAGAGAAATGTGTCACGATAACCAGTAGTAGAAGTCTTGCCTTTTTGTTTCAGGAATTGTTGGGTTCAAGTCCTACTCAGGATTTGTACACAAAAGTCCAGAATCACTCCGCAGTACTCGGGAAGTCAGAGTTGATGTCTTTTCAATGAAATATTAAACTGAAACTCAAAATGTCCTTTGGTGGATGCAAAATATCCCATGCAACTGTTTCAAAGTGTCTTGTCCAATATATATTTCTTGACTTCCATGCAGAACTGATTATCTGTTACATGTCACTAGCTGTTTAAGGGAGCTGGCTGTGTGCAAATTGGCTGCCACCTTTGCTCCAAGATTGCCTGTACTTCAGAATATTTAGTTGGCCATAGCGTGCTTTGTAATGTAAAAAGTGCTGTTTCAATTTATGTCTTTCTTATCAAAATAAAGGTAAATGAATTGAGCAACCCGTATTGTTCTCTAAATCAGTTGGCTAAGTTTGGGCAGCTGAGCTTTGTTTGACGAATGGCAGCATTGCGTTATGAAATATCTACGGGAGATGGCACTGTTAGCTGAAAGCAAGTGTGATCATTATGACTAAAGCAAATTTCCAGAAGCAAAGTGTTTCATTGCAGATCTGTCACATATTTTTGTGGGAGGGATAAATTGTTTTTGTTTTTTTTATTTAAAACCTTAACCTTGAAAGGAAGTTGGCACTTAGGTTGTCTTTTTTTTTCATAAAACATTCTTCCTTTCAGTCATGCCACTGCTGAAAGATAAAACGGTCTTTTCTTTCTGGACACACTGTACCGAGGGCCCGAACTTGTTCAGCGCCACAGTCCAGAGCGTTTTGCAGAAGCTGAACTCAAGCTTTGGGAGCAAAGTGAACGAGCACTACTCTGGCCCAGCAGAAGCAGGTTAGTGGCCATTTTAACCTGGACAGCTTCTACTTGAAGATACCTTTGCTGGAGAAATAGATAACAATAAAGTCAAGCTTTTGATGAAATTTAAGCAACAAGTACAAAATAACTTTTGGTAAGGCCTTCGATAAGCTACCGCATAGTAGACCCATTACAAAGCATTTGGAATGGACAAGCGTGTAGCAGAATGGATAGCAAGCTAACTACAAATCAGAAAACAGAGTAGGGGCTAAGAGCAGCTACAGAGGTTGGTAAATGGTGGAAAATACTGTTCCACAAGTATCAGTGCTGACAAAGACAAAAACAAAATACTGTGGATGTTATAAATTTGAAACAAAAACAACAATCACTGGAAAAACTAGTCAGTAAGCATCAGTGGAGAAAAGCACTGTAAACATTTACGTAAATGTTTTGGACGCTGATATTGGCGTACAGCTTCCAGCTTTGCAAGTAACACCAGTGTGGTTGGCACAAAGGAAGAATGTGACAAAATATGTGAAATTAATGGCCCACATCTCCTGAACAGTGGGAATCATTGCCGTTCCGTGTATAAACTCCCCCAACTCAACGCTGGAAGATTTGGCCCAAGTTAGTGAAATGATTATGGAATTGGCATATATACTAGTAATTTCAGTATTGGTAAATGTGAGGTGGTGCATTTTTATTGGAATAATGTTGAGGCGCCAAACTTATTGCTTGGATAACAAGTGTTTAAACAAGAAAAAAAACAGGGATTCATAAATCATTAAAACTAGTAGCACAGATTGAAAGGTCATTTTTACGTTTAAAAAAAGCCAAATGCTGGGGTTTGTTTTGAAGAGCTAGATTTGAAAAGGAGAAGCTAAATGAATTTTTTTTTATTCATTCACATTACGAGGGTGTCTCTGGCAAGGACAGCATTTATTACCCATCCCCAATTGCTCAGATGACCGCTAAGAGTCAACCATATTGCTGTGGGTCTGGAGTCACATGTAGACCAGACCAGGTAAGGATGGCAGTTTCCTTCCGTAAAGGGCATTAGTGAACCAGATGGGTTTTTCCAACAATCAACAATGGATTCATGGTCATCATTATACTCTTAATTTCAGATATTTATTGAATTCAAATTCCACCATCTGCCGTGGTAGGGTTCAAACCCGGGTCCCCTGAACATTACCTGGGTCTCCGTACTAACAGTCCAGCAATAATACCACTAGGCCATTACCTCTCTGAAGTATCAGATCTTAGTTGGCATACAGTGTGCAGTTCTGGTCTCCATATTATAAAAGAATATAGATGCAGAGGAAAAAGTGCAAAAAGATTCAGAAGAATGATAGCAGAACTGGGAGGGTATATTTGTGAGGACACATGAAAGCTGAATGTATTTTTCTTCAGAAAAGAGCGAAGGCTGAGGAGTCACCTGGTAGAAATTGTGTTTCCTATTTATTCAATTGCTGGGCAAGTATTTATTTCCCATCCCTTGAGAAGGTGGTGGTGAGCTGCATTCTTGAACCACTGTAGATAGATCCACAATGCCATTAGAAAGGGAGTTCCAGGAGCTCAACCCAGTGACACTGAAGGAATGGTAATGTATTTCCGAATCAGAATGGTGTGCAGCTTTAAGGGGTACTTGCAAGTGGTGTTGTACCAATATATCTGCTGCCATTGTTCTTCTGGATGGTAGTGGTTATGGGTTTGGAATATGCTGTCTAAGGAGCTTTGGTGAATTTCTCCATCTTGTAGATGGTACACACTGCTGATACTGAACGTTGGTGTTGGAGGGAATGAGTGTTTGTGTATGTGCCAATCAAGTGGGCTGCTTTGTCCTGGATAGTGTCGAGCTTCTTGAGTGTTGTTGGAGCTGCAAATAGGGAGGATTCCATCACACTGTTGGAATTTATGATAGTGAAAGAGTTGAGAGGATAGCTGTAGAAAAAATTCTTTCATTTATGGAGGAATCAAAAACTCAAGGACATAAATATAAGGGAGTCACCAATAAAACAAATCGGGAATTCAGCAACTCTCTTTACTCAAAGAATGATAAGAATGTGGAATTTGATAGCACATGGAGGAGTTGAGGCAAATGGTATAAATGTTTTTAAAATGGGAAGCTAGATAAGCCTATGAGAGAGAAATGAAATGAGGGATTATATTGATGGAGAGTGGGAGGAGTCTCGTGCGGAGCATAAATGCCAGCATGGGCCACTTAGGCTAACTGCCCTGTTTAAGTACATTGGCTTGATGTAACTTGATCTGTTTTAGCCTAAGTCTAGTTGAAAGGATTTGAGAAAGGAATGCAGGCTGAAAGACCACAAACCCTCTTGTTACATCCTGATTAATCATAAATTACAACTTAAACAATTTATCAATCTACAACAGATGCAGATATAACGCAGTGAAGAGCTTTAAGAACCATCGCTTCAAAGACAGCTGCTTCTTTCAAGCCCACCGCACTCACTACTCATAAAATATATCCCAAACTATTTTCTGAAATACACTAATCTAAATTGAAATTGCATTGATTTAGAACTAATTGGTTTTATTGTCTTGCTAACCCGTTTTTATCGATTGATCAGAAAACAAGGGTCTAGGCCCGAAACGTCAGCCTTTCTGCTCCTACGATGCTGCTTGGCCTGCTGTGTTTATTCAGCTCTACACCTTGTTATCTCATTCTTTCGACAAATTAGTTTCACCTTTTAATCATCTTTTTCTGCATCTTTTGTAATCCAATACCCCAATTTCCTCAATCACTCTGGTTATTCCTCAATAGCTGCAAAATCCTTTTCATGCTGTGGCAACTGGAACAATACAGTTTTGTAATTTCATCAGCACCAGTGCTTTATGAAGTATAGCATGATCTCATTACTTCATCTCAATGTTGAGCTTTTAATATATCTCAATATCTGATTTATTTTTACTTGTTGCCACTGAACATTGTTGCAGTTGTTTCACATTGTTATAACTCATGACGCTTAGATCGATCTTTTTAGGTGAGAATTATTTCTTGGATATTTTTGTGCTTTCCATTTGCCCACATTGATTTTCACCTGCCACCTGTCTGTTCAACTGCTAAATATATTCCACTTGCCTTGGAGATAATTGCATGTGGTCCAGGTTGAAGTCAAAGATAAGTTTTGTTTAACGGATTGAAGAGAGAAAGAAGACTAGCTAGCTAGCCAAGTTCTGAAGAAGAGTCTTATTGCACTTGAAATGTTAACCTTGTTTCTCTCTCCATAGATGCTCAATTTCTCCAGCACTTTGTTTTTATTTTAGATCTCCAGCATCTGCAGTACTTTGTCTTTATTAATTATACAGCTGTTCTGGCCATGTCTCGGGCTCGACTTTCCTCCCAGTCCACTGGCACTTTTTATTCATTCACGTGACGAGGGTGTCTCTGGCAAGGACAGCATTTATTGCCCATCCCTAATTGCCCAGACGACAGCTAAGAGTCAACCATATTGCTGTGGGTCTGGACTCGCATGTAGGCCAGACCAGGTAAGGATGACTTACAGTCCCAAAGCTGATTTTAGAGTGCAAATAGGCTGACATTGAGCCACCTCTAAGTGAATATTCGCAGGTGTAAGTGAAGATAATCTCTGTTTTCTGTCTGATGCATCACCAGATTCAAAAGGTTTATTTCAACTATGTTCTATTGTGCCATACTGCCTAACTCAGAACTTAAACAGAACTCACCATTTGGAGGATTTATTATATTCTCAAATATAATCAGTTTAACTATAAAGTGATTTTGTAAAACAGAAATATATTCAATGATCATTTCAGCTTGGACTGTGCTGCAGACTGAGGCACTTATACTGCATACCGATTTTAAATACTCATTTAGTAAAACAGTTCTGTCATTTAGTCTGCTCTTTCTTACAGTTTTTATTAAATTAGTGGAAAGGTTTTTGGACAGAACGTTGCCAAAACGCGCTCGAAGTGGAAATGTGGAACTCCTGACTATCTTCCAATACTTGAATCACATTGAGGAGCAGAATGTGCCCTCCTTACCTGCCTATATCATGGAGGTAGCAGATGAAGGTACTTTTCTAATGTTCTTTATGCAGCCTTACCCCTAACTCCAGCCTCGCGTTAATAATTCCCTTCTTTTTGTGCTCTTCCATTTCTGTGTGAACAATATTCTTGTTTTTGCTCTTTCTGAATCTCTCACTATCCAGTTTGTGCAGCAACTAGAATTCTGCTAGCATAGCTTTAGGTGATCATCCTGGCAATCATGGCTGACCATCCATACCCTCTATATGAGGAAGAAAACATTGGACCTGGTGAGAAGGATTGTATCTTGTGATACTACCCCATTGATCTCTAGGCCCTAGAGGTCAGTGGAGGGATAATGAATACTGTGAATTGGCACTGTGCCCACATGAACCCTTCCTATAGCAGCATTCTGGACTTCGATGTGCTGCTGCTATTGGAGATATTATCAAGCTGATATACCCAGTGTTTTGGATAGTTTTGTGTAGGGTTCTGTTAACCATGGCGAGTGCACTTTCCTTTCTAGAATGTAACAATCAAGTCAGAAACATGTTTCAATATGATGACTTATTCATGGAATGATTTCCATTCATGAAATTGTTGAATATTCCAGTTAGAGTTGACTTTTTTTCTTAGATAGTTGCCGAGGGTTTAGAACAACACAAAACAGTCCTGATGTTGGTTTCGTAAAAGCCTTTGAATGTCCGGATGTAGGATTTGTATTTGTACTTCTGTGTGGTTTGTGTATGCCTGTCCAACTGATGCACCTGTATGTTGGTTCATGGATTGTATTTGGCTGCAAAATCTCTGATTTGGATGAGGGATTTTCTTCTCCCTCACCCCTCAACACCCCCACCCTGATTGCAAATCAAGATTTACAACACCTGTGATGATGCGGGGTGTGGGGGTGTGTGTGTGTGTGTGGGTATGTATGTGGGTGTATAGATAGGTAAGGCACTGGAAGTTTGGGTTTGTGTCTCAAATAAGCACCTAAAAATCCTGTCCTGTCACAAACATACTGGATAGCCATTCAAGTGAGATATCAGTTTGTTTTTTCTACTGATGAGAGTAGAAATGTCCATGACTATTTTGTGGTGTCTTTTTTTCTCCCCACCCCTGCACTCCCCATTCCTTGCAGTATTCTTGGTTCAGAATCTACAGTCCTCTGATAGGGATGTGGTATTGAAGAATCTGAAACATCTCTCAGGGACCCAGCTCCAGAAAGATGGTCTAAAAGCTGTTGGTTTGCTTTTGTTGGAAGACAACACCAAGATCTGCAACACTGCTGCCTCTGTGCTGAAAAACCTGTCAGAAGATTCCAAATTCAGAGAAAAGGTTGGTAGCAAGTCTGTAAACGCAATTGCTTCGCTCTCAGCTAACCTGGCCAATTTGGTCCAACAACTCTGGTGTTTGCACAGGGAACGGAGCTAAGGGCCTGAAGCTTAAAAACTCATTGTAAATTAGGAATCATTTGATTTTACATTGTCTTTTATTATCAACTATGGAGCATAATGTCATTAATATGAGGGCCAGTATCAATAGTGAGCTGGCAAGGCTGTTGTCAGAGCTAGTCTATTGTACCCGAGTAGGTTAGGATGCCAGTAGTGAGAGTGCATTGTCCCTGAGCAAGTAAGTCTGTCAGCGGTACTACAGCAATACAATTGCAGAGTGGTTTCATCGATAGTAACACTGTATTCCCTTGAATATAGAAAATGTATTGTGATCTGATTTAATATTTTAAATGCTGCAAAGGATTTGTTTTGTGTATGAGAAACTATTTTCTCTATTGGAGCAATCAAGAACAATGGGCCATAATCTTAAAATAGCACTCAGCCATTTTGGATTGAAATCATGAAACATTTCAGTAGTCTGGTTGTTGCATCAAATTGACTTTGAAGACTTGAAATTAATTGTTATTTGTTATACAAAGGTATCACAGGATATGGAGCAAAGGCCATTAAATTGAATTGCAGTATGGATCAAGCAAAATCTAATGAAATTCTGGTTCATTGTCGAAGGGTCGATTAGCCTACCACTGTTCCTAAAGTCCTGTTGTGGTTGTAATGTTAATTCAACCTAAATCTTTTTTTTTGAGTCCAGCCAGACATCAGAATGAAATAAAAGACTCTGGTGGCTTAATACCATTGTCACAGAAGATATCTTGAGTATTGGAGGTCCTCCACCAAAGAGCAGAGATACATGAATTTACAGTGCTGGATTCTTGTTAGCACTTCATCATTGAATGAAAACTGGTTGTTTGTGTTTAAAATATCTGGATTTACATTCTGTCAGCATTAATCTTGAAGCAGATAGTTTCTGAAGGCTGGTAGACAATTTATTTTATGTGATGGACTAATCATGTGCATTTGTTTTCAGGCTCTGGTTTGTTACTTGGAACTGCTTGAGGATGAGGATGAACAGCTGAGAAAAGTAGGATGCACAGCACTAGCACATCTAAAGGTGAGCACTTCAGTTCAATTTCAGTCAAAATAAAAACACACACTACCACAGAACTGTAGAAATGGCACAAAACAGAAGGGAGCCATTCAGCTCATTTTGTCCAAAGACGTCCAAATGCCCTTTCTAATCCCATCTTCCTGTACACGGCCCATAGTCCTGCAGCTTACGGCATTTAAGGTGCAGATCCAGATACTTTTTAAACGAGTTTAGTGTCTCTGCCTCCATCACCAATTCAGACAGTGAATTCCATACATGCGCCATCCCCTGCACAAAAAAGCTTTTCCTCATGTGTCCTCTCATTCTTCTGCTAATTAGCTTGAATGTATGTGTCCTGTTGTTGAACTCTGTGCCAAGGGGAACAGGTTTCTCCTGTCTACTCTTCACAATTTGGTATGCCTCAATCATGTCATCCTTCGGCCTTCTCTGTTCCAAGGAAAGCAATCTAATCTCTCCTTGCAGCTACAACTTGCTAGCCTTGGCAATGTTCCAGTAAATCATCTCTGTACTGTCTCTAGAGCAATTACATCCTTCCAGTAATGTGGTGACCGGAACTGCACATAATATTCCAGTTGTGTCCTCATCAGTGTATTATACAGTTTCATCAATATATCCCTATTTTTGTATTCTATTCCTCTGCCAATGAAAGGCAGCATTCCATGTGCCTTCTTTACAATCTTATCCACCTGTACTGCTACCTTTAGGGACCTGTGTACTTGCACACCAAGACCTCTCACTTCAGCTACTCCTCTCAGCATCTTCCCACTTATTGTGTAATCCCATTTACTGTTTGACCTCTCTAAATGCATTACCTCACACTAATCAGAGCAGAACTCCATCTGCCACTTTAGTGACCCCTCCACCAACCCATCTATATCATTTTGGAGCTTACAACTATCCACTACATCGTCAATTTTTGTGTCGTCTGCAGATTTCCCAGTTATGCCCACCATCTTCAGGTCCAAATCATTAATGTATAAAACAAACAGCAAGGTTCCCAAAACTGAGCCCTTCAGAACACTACTTGAAACAACTTTCCATTTGCATGGGCAGCCATCGGCCATTACCCTTTAGTTCCCTATTACTAAGCCAGCTTTGGATCCAATTTGACACTTCAGCTTATATGCCTAGGCTTTTACTTTTCTGACCAGTCTGCCATGTGGGACCTTGTCAAATGCCTTACTAAAATTTGTGTAGACAACATCCACTGCATTACCATCATTGATCCTCCTTGTCACTTCCTCAAAGAATTCAATCAAATTTGTAAGGCATGACCTTCCCTTAACAATGCCATGTTGAGTATCCCTGACTAGTCCATGCCTTTCTAAATGATGGTTAAATCTGAGACCTCAGGATTGGACTCGAACAATGTGCCTGCCACTTAAGTAAGACTGACTGGCCTATAATTGTTTGACATTTCCTTTCTAAGTCCCCTTACAGCCATGACAATACTGACTCAACTCCTCTGAAAATGACTATAAATGAAAATTCCTCAAAAGTCATTTGCTGCTATCACTAAATCCTGAATTACTGTAGAGGTCTATCAGGTTGTTTAATGGTCAGCTTTAAATGCAACAGAAAGAATTATCCGCATACCTGATCCAGTTCTCATTATTGCATGCTCCTATAATGAATTTTTAAAACAAAAATGCGATTTTAAAAAAAAATGACTTTCTGGGATATCAATCTGCTTCTGCAGCCTCCAGCGTATAACTCAGTTTACTACATACAATGTATACATGTACATAATCTGGTAAAATAATTGAATTAGATTAAAGAACAGGATTTAGATTTTGGGGTATGGTATATGAGCAGTTCGTAAAGTGACAACATTGTGTCACACAATTAAAAGAAATAGTTGAAGCTTCAGATCATTTAAAAAAAAAACTGAGCAAGTTACTGGTCTCTACCATGATAGTAGATTGGGGAATATTCCATCCAGGATGTTTGGCTGGTTATTTTTGGCTTGTCTTCAGTTTTCTTCTTTTTCGGGAGGTGATAGGTCCTTGTAATATTTTTGAATTATAGTTGGCAATGTGTGAAGTACACAGCTGTCCAGTCCAACATCTGTAATACAGAGACAGGTTTGAGTTTTGAGTGAGCATGTTTCAATAGAACTGAAAGCACAAGTGAACTGAAAGTTCAGAAAATTAATGCACTAATGGGAAAAGAGCTTGATAAATACTTGCAAATTGTTCAGTAGGAATGGGGAATATGGAAGATCATCACTGAGACTTTTTTTGATGAGCAGTAATTCACCGAAGTATTTGCCCAGAGAGGAGGGCAGGAGGGCACTACTTGTGCATTGTAAATGAGAGTATCCATATCCAGTAGGGTTGACTGGCAGTGCTTACTATGAGCGGATGCCCTGTCACCCCTCTCCCAGGTTAACTGGGGGCACACAATAGTGCAAGTGAAGTGAGTGGCTGAAGTTGTTTTGTAAGATAATGCTTCTGATGGAGTTCATGACCATGTTACAATGGCTACATCCATTCCATTGATGTCACATCCAGGACAAATTCCACTCTAACTTTCAAAGAGAGCAGATGGATCGACACCAGCTCTCTCAAGTCCTAGTAAATTTGTCTGAACAGATGTAGTAGTAGGTATGACTACTGCCATGCAATAAACTACATTATCTAAGAACAGTGCCTCTGTGGATACTTGGTGTATTCTCTACACTAATCATTAGGTAGGCCCAAGACAAAACAAGGGAGGATTGGTGGCAGCGAAATACCTTTTTTAAAAAAAACCTTATCTAGTACCACAAACTGATAGAAGCATAGAAAATAGGAACAGGCTATTTGGTCCTTTAAGCCTGCTGAACCATTCAATATGATGATTGCTGATCATCCAACTCCTTACCCTTTCCTGCTTTCTCCCTTTGATCTCCTTAGCCCTACGAATTATAACTAACTCCATGAAAACATTCAATGTTTTAGTCTCAAGTGGTTTCTGCGGCAGAAAACTTTACAGGCTCACCACTCTTTGGGTAAAGAAATTTGAGCTCAGTCCTAACTGGCATATTGCATATACTTAGACTGTGACCCCTGGTTCTTGACTACCCAGTCAATAGGAACTTCCATCCTGCACCTATCCTGTCTAGTCCTGTTAGAATGTTGCTATGAGATTCCCCCCCGCCCATTATTCTAAACGCCAGTGACAATAGAGCTAACCAATCCAGTTTCTCTTCATGTCTCAATCCTGCCATCTGAGGAATCAGTCTGGTAAACGTTTGCTGCACTCCCTCTATAGTGGGAACATCCTTCTTCAGATCAGACCAAAACTGAACACAGTATTCTGGGTGTGGCACACCAAGGTCCTGTATAATTGCGCAAGACATCCCTGATCCTGAACTGAAATTCTTTGGCTATAAAGGCCAACATACCATTTGCCACCTTGACCATCTGCTGCACCTGACCTGCATGCTTACATTCAAGTGACTGGTGTGCAAGGACACCTAGGTCTTGTTGTACACTGCCCTCTCTCAATTCATAGCCATTCAAATAATCGCTTTCCAGTTTTTCCTCCCAAAGTGAATAATCTCACATTTATCCACATTATACAGCATCTACCATGCATTTTCCCACTCATACAGCTTGTCCTAATTACATTCAAATATCTCTTCTTCCTCCTCCCTGTTCACCCTCCCGTTAGCTTTGTATGTGGGACCTTATCAACAACCTTCTGAAAGTCCGAGTAAACCACATCCACTAGCTCTCCTTTATCCACTATCGTAGAATCACAGTGTAGAAACAGGCCATTCAGCCCAAGTACCATCTGAAGAGCATCCCACCCAGACCTACCCTTCTACCCTGTCTCTGTAACCTTGCATTTTCCATGGCTAATGCACGTAATCCAGACATCCCTAAACACTTTGGGTAATTTAGCATAGCCAATCCACCTTGCTTGCACACCTTTGGACTGTGGGAGGAAATTGGAGCACCCGGCAAACCCACACAGATGCAGGGAGAATGGGCAAACGCTACACACAGTCGTCCGAGGGTGGAATCGAACCTGGTCCCTGGAACTGTGAGGCTAACCACTGAGTCACCATGCCATGCTCTCCTAATTCATCTTTGAAAAATTCCAGTAGATTTGTTGAATGTGATTTATCTTTCTTAAATCCATGCTGACTCTGCCCGATTAAGATACTTTGTGGTACTTGCCACCTCTATCAGGTGTGGTCACCTGGGAAAATATCAGATGGTTTGAGTTAGTGCAGTGAGTTTGAGAAGTATAATGGTGACGTGCATAATTAGCACTTTTCTACTAATGAATGTTACTTTCTTCAGTTTCCCAGCCATCAAATTAAAATCTTTTACCTATAATTGGCCTGTTGTTTCTCTTTGCTTCCCTTCAGTCTCTTAGACAAATATTTTAATGTTGGAAACTCTATCTTTCAGTTCATTTCTGATGTAGAAGTCACACCTGAAACCACCACCTTGCATCAAATGGGCCAGGAAATGTATTGTAGAAAAATATTTGACAATTTTAAATTATCTTGGCAAGAAAAATGGTAATTGGATTAATTCTAGGATTAGTAAAGATCACAAATTCTACAGCTATTTTTCTTTTAACTTAATTTGTTTTATTTAGGCCAAAGAGAGTATTGATCAACTAGTCTACCTTTGCCAGACTGATAAAGAAGTCCGTGATGTTGCTAAACAGACCCTCCTAACTTTTGGTAAGGTTTGTAATTGTAATTACAAATTCAATACCTGCACGTTACTTGAATTTAATTCTCTTCAGTGTCTGATGAGACAATTTATTGGATGCTTCACCTTCCTGTGTATTTCTTCAATAACTGGAGGAGATCTGTGAATTGCTGATGTCTTGTCTGATTTTGTTTTAAATTGCATTAAGCTAATTTTAAAAAATACAAATGTAAAAATTTACACTTTTTTAATGATTTAATATGACCTTGGTCAAATGGGCAGAGAAGTGTCCTTGAGAGGACATTACATTTGTATCCTGCAGGGAAATTTCTTGATTCCATTCATCTTCCCTCTATTCCTATTGATCCTCAGGATCCTTTCCAGGAAGTAAGAAAATGATATTAGCTTTGGTGATTTAAGAGGCGCTGGCTCTCAGACGAAACTCTGATCATCAAGTGAACTTAGTGGATCTCTGAAACAGTTTCTGATAATACAAATCTAGATCCAAAATGTATCCACAGTGCGAATCATGGAACACACCTAATACTTTTAATACAAATCAGGTTTCATCACGTCATCATCTGAAACACACTTAGCGTTTAGAAAACGCCCAACATTTTGGAAAAGGTGGATTCACTGATACCAGGAAAATGATTAAAAATGCATTCATATCAAGCTGCTGCAGTACTCACCCTCAATTGATGTTCATAGACTATACTTTTGGTTAAAGAAGCATTTTCTTCGAAGAAACTGGTACTTAGTCCAGCCTAAAAAGCAGGAGATAGGCTGTTCAAATCCATTTCATAGTGCCATTTTAGGCACAATGGGCTGAATAGCCTCTTTGTGTGCCATAACATTTCTGTGATTCTGAGAAATTCAACGTCCATGCTGTATCCTGTTTCTTCCACTGTGTCCGTTAAATCACTGTCAGTGTTATACATGTATAGAACCAAGATAAATTAAACAAGTTTCTTGTTTTGAAGAGTCCCGTATGATGTTTGTCTGTTTGATAGCACAACCAAAGACGGGGAAGTGGAGTGATAGAGGTTATTAGGGAGGGAATTTCACAGCATTGTTCAAGGTGTCAACTTTATTTTGGTGATAACACCTGTGAGTGAGAAGGTCATTCTTTGAATCCCAAACTAGGAACATGACCAAATAATGTAGACTTCATATTCTGGGGCAATATTGAGGAATTGCTGTACGATCTGAAATGCTGTCTTTCAGATGAAACATTAAGTTGAATGACTGTCTACTTCGTCAGATGAACATATCTGAAAAGCAGGTGAATTAGCCTAGAAATAAAGAAAATAGGAGTAGGCCATTCGGCCCTTTCAGCCTGTCCTGACCTTCAACGTGATCATGGCCAATCATCCAACTCTGTATCCTGTTTCTGCTTTCTCCCCTTACCCTTTGATCCCTTTAGCCCTAAGAATTATATCTAGCTCCCTCTTGAGAATAGTCAATATTTTGGCTTCAACTACCTTCTGTGACAGGGAATTCCACTGGTTCACCACTTGGGTTGAAGAAATTTCTCATCCCAGTTCTAAATGGACTCCCCATATCTTAGACTGACCCCTGCTTCTGGATTTACAAGTCATCAGGAACATCATCCCGTATTTACTCTGGCTAGAATTTTATAGGCTTGTATGAGATTTCCCCACATTCTTCAAAATCTAGTAAATGTAATCAGTCCCTTCCCAGGAATCAGTCTGGTAAAAGGTCCTGATGACCTTGCCAATATTTATTGCACAACACAAAATACCTGCAAATATCTTATTGCTTGTAGGATCCCGTGCTGTAAAAATTGGCTGACATGTTTCCCTCCGCATCAACAGTGGAGGGGGAGGATGTATCAAACTGATGCATTTTGAAGAGAGTCCCAAGGTGACTTTCTTTTTATCTCTCCTTCCCTGCCTCCACTGAAGGTAATGACAGAGAAATTATTGTTATTTTGGGATAAACCTCTCTGCAGAACTGGTATTAAAGTTTGCAAATAAAGTAAGAGACATCTGGAGGAAGATGCTGCCAGGCTTGCTGTCTTCTTCCAGCCTCCTGTTTTGTCTACTTTGCAAATATAGTATCTTGTTTCCTTTCTTAGTTGAAACAGGAAAAGTATCAAACATAAAGCCCATCCTACCTATATTTACTGTGATTTGTGTATTACCTGCCATCTATACAAACACTTACTGTGATTTTTGTCCAATGCTCTGACAGGTGAAGAAGGTAAAATTGCCTACAAACAGATGGAAGAATCATTGGACAGTATGCAGATGCTCCTGGGATCAGTCAGTATGGCCAGTACAGCTTTCTAACTGGAGGTGCTTAATGTTTATCAAAGAAAATGGCCAGCGTCTTCCTGTAAAGAGCTTCTGAAGCAACATGGCTTTCTCTTTTAAACCATCAAGTAATCTAAAAGCCGAGCTACACCTGGGTTTCTAACTTTTTTTAATACTTAAGATGTAGCAGCATGCATAACTTTTCCTAGGTTTGGGAGTGGGTTTGGGGGAAGAGGGGAAATGCTACCATATGGAAAAGTCACTTTCACTTTCCCAAAGTATCTGGGAAACATTGGCATAGTGATGCCAATTCATCACATGAATGCACATGTTTTGACAAAAGAAATCCCAAAAGCCAACACAGAGAAGATCTCCTGGTAAAAGAAACTATGACCAAATTGGGACTCGGTGGAAATGCACTTTGAACAATTGAATGTGTGAATGATCCACATAAGAGTGGTTAACCTTGACGGAGGAAAGACCCTGGCAGACAGATGACTCTAAAAGCCACAGCTGAAATATTTACCTACAATTCTGCATGTCTTGCTTCTTGGAGGCAGGAAGCTAAAGTGCTGCTTCACGACCAAGTGCCTAGTGTTACGGTGGAGAGCATACAAGTATTACATGTACAATAAACAGGTCCAGTCTTTTTTATTTAATGTTGAATTAACTTGCAGTAAGGAGATAAACTGCAGCTTTGAGTTTGTAAACCTGTCTTACTATTTTCCACATGGTGCAGTAAATAGATATACCTTGATTTTCTATATAAATGTATTATGTAAGTAAAAGTGAATTGTGATCATAAATAAAATTTCATTAAATGCAATGCTGTAATATGCTAAAAGTGCAAATCATTTTGTTTGAGATGTTTCAAATAGCAAGATATTGCCCCATATTTATACCCTTCAAAATCTTTAAAGCATCTTATTGCAAATAATAAGAAATGCAATATTTGCACCAAACCACTGAAGAAATGAAAGATGAATTTATATATTTTTACCAATATTAGCTTAGGGAAGCATAATTGCCAAGCCCTGCAAGAAACCACATGAAATTGAATATACTCCAAATCTTGTTTGATGTCTCAAGTGAATGATGGTACCGCTGAAAAGGTAGAGTTCTTTCAACAGAATCCTAGGAAGAGGCTTCAGCTTCTAGAGCTAATGAAACTGAAGAATGTACAATGTGTCTTGAAAAGCTATATTATACATTACAGTGCCAATGGATTATACTTGGCAAAGGTTATGAAGTGACATAATTGTGAATGGCCAAACTTGTAGCATTTGAGCTTAACACCTGCTCTCCACAATATGAGTTGTAAATATTTTTACTCATTTAAATGTTCAACTCCCTTGTCTTAATATTCCGGGTTTGCTTTGTCCATATTCTTAAAATGTGAATGACCTTTCTGTCTCTGCTTTAACTGCCAGCTTTCCATGCTGTAGAACTTAAACTTAGTTTCCTCATATCTCATCTCTACATTTGGGATCTCTTTCGCTACTGCTGTTTGCACCTGCATAAATACATACGTGGACTTCTAACGTGGTGAACAGGATTTAATCCAGCACCTACAGAGGAAGGGTCACTGGACCCAAAATGTTAACTCTGATTTTTTTCTTCACAGATGCTGCCTGACCTGCTGAGCTTTTACAGCAGCTTCTGTTTTTATTCCCACAGAGTCTCGCATGGTCATGATCATCAACAACTTCTTGTAGTGTAATGAAGACAAATGCCTAATAAGGAGGAGTAGGAACAAAGGACAATATTCAAAAAAGATATAAATTATGCAGGGAATACCCTGTTACTGCAAATGTTCTGCATAAGTAAAATAGCTAACAAGTATTAATATTCATGCGCATCAGTCAGTGACAAAATATGCATTGAAGTACTGGAAATGCCAAACCAACTTTGTAAAATGTACATAGGTGCTTCCTAGAGATGCTTTTAGCAGTGGTCATGGACATCTCTTGTTGCTGGGGTGGGATGGATATGTCTACTAATTTTAATCCTGGACTCCTGATCAATCTCAAGGCAACCCCCAGAATGTTACTGATCCTCTGGTCTACAGAGGTCTTTAGCACAACTTCACCACTGGGCTTCTTTAGACACCCTTCACTGGAGGGAATGAGTGATCATCTTACCAGAAAAGTGGGAGGAAGGGTTGGGAAGATACCTTCCAGCCTTTTTACATTCTCACTCCTGTGTCTGCACCTACTCCAGCTACACAGTCATAGAGCCATACTGCACAGAAACAGACCCTTTGGTCCAACAAGTCCATGCCGATCATAATCCCAAACAAAATTAATCCCACCTGCTTGCTCCTGGCCCAAATCCCTATCAACCTTTCCTATTCATGTATCTATCCAAATGTCTTTTAAATGTTGTAATTGTACCTACATCTACCACTTCCTCAGGAAGTTCATTCCACACGCGATCCATCCTGTGTGAAAAAGATTTGCCTCATGTTCAAGGATGTAATGGAAAAGCCCTAGGTAACCTGGGGCAGCTATCAAAAGATTGTCAAGCCTCTATCATTTTTCCATGCTGTACCTGATAAGCATGTGCTCTCCTAGTACTTCAAAACGTCCATCCTACTTGAAGTAAAACTTATTTTGTTAAAAAGGTCGGAATTGCAGAATTTGTTCCACTGCGTCACATTTGGGATTTCAGCTTGCATTCAACAAAGTTGGGTTGAATGAAGAGAGATAACAAGGTGTAGAGCTGGATGAAGACACCAGGCCAAGCAGCATCAGAGGGAAACCAGTTCTTGTCAAGCTGCAACTGCATTTATCTATATCTTCAAATCAACTTGTTCAGAGATGCTGTTACACACCTTTGGAACAGATAGGACTTGAACCCAGATCTTCTGGCTCCAAGGCTGAGACACTACCACTGCGTCACAAGAGCACCATAACTGCATTTATATGATGTCTTTAATGTAGTAAAACATCATGAGGTGCTTCACAGGCACAAAGAAATTAAAAATGGACCGTGCCACAGGCATGAGGGCCGGTGACCACACATGTTTTAAAGAATGTCTTAAAGGAGGGGAGAGAGAGAGTCAGAGAGGTTTAGGCAGAAAATTCAAGAGCCTTAGGTCTTGACAGCTGAAGGCACAACCGTCAACAGTGTATGTAGAAGGGGCCACCGTTCCAGGCATTGAATTTTCTCAATGTTGCAGGGTTGGAGAAGATTACGAGCATGGAGAGAGGGGGTGTGGAGGGGAGATATGGAGAGATTTGAAGACAAGAATTCAAGTTTTAAAATCAGAATGTTACTTAACCAGGAGCCTATGTAGATCAGCAAACACAGGTTATGGGTGAATGGAACTGGGAGAATTGGAATGCAGGCAGCAGAGTTTTGGATAAGCTCCATTTCATAAAGGAAATAATGTGAATGGTCCAAATGGTAGTAATACATTCTTGCAGCACAAACTTCAATTAGTTGCTGAGAGAGTGAATATTTCATTCCAACCAGTAGATCAGTTAATGAAAATTTATCACTGTCATATATGGCTGGAATAATCTCAGGCTCAATTCCAAACACATGACGATTGAACTGGGTCGTGTCCAGAAGTCATACTCCTAGGATGGATTTAATGACAAATTAATTGATGCCATGATACTGTCTACTGATGGGTTGCATCTGACATGCATTATGAAAATTCCAGACAGTAAAATTATCATGCCTAGTATTATACTTTGTCTTTGGCTGCAAACTCCATTTCCTACCAATCAATTGTACCTTCCACCTTGGCCACTATTACTTTTAACTGTACCGCGGTACAAGTGACAACATTAAATAAGTCTGTACTAGGCTGAACAGGACTGTTTCTGACCTCATTAAAGAAAAACAAAAAAAAAACCTGGATGCCAGAAATCAGAAACAAAAACTGAAATTGCTGGAAAAGGTCTGCCAGCATCTGTGGAGAGCAATCAGCATTAGTATTTCTGGTCCAGTGACCCTTCCTTAGAACTCTAACCTCAATTTGACTGGAAATTGTGCCTCATACCTGATATCTTCCCTGTGGTAAAAACCATCAACACCTCTGTGACATTGCTTACCTTGATCACTGTCTCAGCTTATCTGCCACTATAAACCTTATCCACGTTTTTCCTACTGAAATAGTTCAATGCTTATTAAAATATGGGTAATGACTGGTTCATACTCTCATCAGTTATTGGGACAGTCTACGCTCAATGTTGTTTGCCCAGAATGGCTGGATCTAGCTTTAATCATTAGAAATTAGGTGAGACCATTTAATGAAATGCAAATTTGGATGTTCCAAGTTTCATCAGGTTTATCCCTATAGTAAGTACTTGTGTGTTCAATCCCATGATAAATGCAATTCTAAGCTGACATTGTTTTATTGCTCTGTTGAATTCCCGGTATAGTTCAATGGGATATGAGTATGACATTGAGAATTCCAGAAAACAATGATGTGGGTGATGCCAGCCTTTATGACTTGTGGCACATTCCAGGTACTAAAACTGTATTGTGGCAGACGTGTGTCTGTGTGTGTGTGTCGGGGGGGGGGCATAATGTAAGCTGAGCTGTAGCAAGGCTGTCAATTGTTATTTATTTTTCATTAGGGCTGTGGAAAGTCCAACTATCACCTTTATATCACAAATTACTCATTCATTCTGGAACACGTTTTAGGAGACAATAGCTGACCAGAGGGGGAAAGATTAGTATCAGCTGAATTTGGAAAGCGATAAGCTGGACAATACATAAACCGGACAAATCACAGGTAGGCAGAAGAGACTTGTTCCTTGGAATAGAAATATGAAGTAAAGCAATTTTCTCAATGTGATTTAATAGATAATTGTTTCTGCTGAAAGATTCAGGAAGAATTGACAGTCTTGATCCAGTGCAGTGAGTGCTGAGGCTAAGGCTTATTTTAAGTAAATATATTCCAAAGCTCTCTTATTTTATCCCATTCTCCCTTATGCCACATGTTTAAATTAAGTTTTAGATATTTGATGATCCTAAGTTGACTAATAAGAGATCAAGTTCAGCAAGGAGCACATTGATGGACTACACAAAATGTTGGTGAATCCTTCCCCCCTCTATTGCTGTCTTTGGTATCAAAATAAATCAAGCAATTGACAGGTGAAAGTCACACAACGAGCGGGGATTGGTTCAAAGTGGACTCTTTTTGTCAATAATAACCTTCAAAGTTATAGGAGAAACATATTATTTATTAGTCTATGAAACTTTAGACTCCCTAGCCATGCTGGAAGTAGAGGAATCCTACATGTTGATGGATTATGTGCAGGTACAAAAAAAATCAATAGAATCCTTATAGTGTCGAAACAGGCCATTCGGACTATGGGAGGAAACTGGAGCACCACATAGACACAGGGAGAATGTGCAACCTCCACACAGACAGTCGCACAAGGGTGGAATCGAACATGGGTCCCTAGTCCTGTAAGATAGCAGTGCTAACCACTGAGCCACAGTGCCACCCACAAAGAGTTACGACATGACTCTTTAAATGCAGGCTCATGGGTTTATCAATGTCCCTGTACACATGTAGGCTCAAGGATTTATGATTTCATTTTATGTGTGTAACATGGGCTCACAATCTTGTTTCTGCCATCTTGCTTATTTTAAAAACAAATTTGCCAGTTTTGGGTACTAAAAAAGGCATACGTTAAGGTCAGTTGGTCTACCAGGCCTGCCCCCAACAATTGTGATGCATGAAGCAGTGATTTGTCACCTCTATCCATCAGAGGGTCAGTGCAAACTTGATGGGCCAAATGGCCTCTTTCCGCACTGTAGGGATTTTATCAATTCACTCGATCAGTCACTTTTCACCATGCCCATTC